CCCGGGGGGGGGAGGTTGTGGTGGGCCGCGAGCTCGCCCCGTTGCTCCCGAGCGGGGAAAAAAAGAAAAAAACCCCGTCAAAAAAAAAAAAAAAAAAAAAAAAGGAACTGGAAAGGTTCTAAAACCAGATAGAAGCTAGAGGAGAGCTTACTTTTGAAAAATGGCAACTGGGAGTGATAAGAATTGTGAATTTGCAGCTTAAAAAAATTTTTGCCTGAGGGCACCCAACAACTCCCACAGAAGAGGAAAGCGGCAGTGGAAAACTCCAGCCTGACTTTCTTATGATGGCAAAAACAGAATTCATGATAGAAAAAGCATCTGAAAGTTTAGCAGGAGGGCATGAAAGTAAGAAAACCACGGAAGAGGGTAAACCTCATAACCTGACTGTAAACCGCTAAAATCCCTGGATGTACCTCTCAACTACACCTGCATGGGCAGACTCCATGAGGCCTAGTGAAAAAGCAGGCAGATATTAGGGAGGTAGAGTTCTGTCTTTGAAAGACAGAATCTATACAAGGTGAACTTGGTGAGTTTGCTGTGTTTTTAAATTGAATGCATTTTCCAACCATGGGGAACCAGATGGCAGATATATGAAGTCTTATGAACTTGAGATATCAGTGGACATAATCTTAAGGCTGAAAAATTAGGGAGGAATCCCCAGAAACAAAGAAAGTACCATGAAAACAGGCTCCAAATCTGAGTAAAATCTCTGGCCCAATTCTTGGTCAATCATCAGTTACACAGGCAGACCTGCAGGGGCCAGGCCAGGCACATATAATCCCAACACTTTGGGAGGCCAAGGTGGGTGGATCACTTGAGGCTAAGAGATAGAGACCAACCTGGCCAATCTGGTGAAACCCTGTCTCTACTAAAAATAAAAAAATTAGCCGGGTGTGGTGATGCCTGCCTGTAATCCCAGCTACTAGGGAGGCTGAGGCAGGAGAATCACTTGAACATAGGAGGTGGAGATTGCAGTGAGCTGAGATTATACCACTGCACTCCAGCCTGGGTGACAGAGCAAAACTCTGTCTCACCAAAAAAAAAAAAAAGCTCTAAGAATTACACAGAGATGTCAGTTGTTGAACCTTGCAGGGAGCAAAGTCTACAGTTAGTTAAGTCCAGGAAGGTTATTTGTCTATTAGGAAAAAAACCCCAAATAATCCCAAGGAAAATACAGTAGGATCCAGAGTCACTACATGTATTAGAATGTCCAATGTTAAACCAAAAATTACCAGACATGCAAAGGAACAAGAAAGAGTGATCTATATTTAGGGAAAAAGGGCAGTCAATAGAAAGTGGCTCCAAGTTGACTCAGATGTCGGAGTTAGTAGTCAGACATCAAAGTAGCTATCATATGTATGTTCAGAGAGTTAAAGAAAAATCTTGTTTTGTTGTTGCCCAGGATGGAGTGCAGTAGTGCTGTCTTGTCTTACTACAGCATCAAATTCACGGGCTTAAGCA